CCTAATGTAATTTATTCTGTCCCTTATTCTTGTGTCAAAGATTATTAACTTTGTTTCCTCGGTCATGATGTATAAATTTTCTGGTATTCAATTTATGCATAAGCACGAGAATCCAATTTGTTTTTGGCAGGAAAGTCAACTGTTTATTTTCTCTCTTCTACCCGTTCTGTTATTGCTTAATTCAGGGATTAACAAAGCCTTTTTCTCAATTTGTTGTCTTTTTTATGTGATTTTCAAATAACTGCTGGAAAGGTCTTATGACTTTTTCTTTTCTCTTCTATTGATCATCAATTAAAATTGTAATCATTAATTTCTACCAGGAAAGGTTGGAAAGAAGACGCCAAATGCCTTACCATATGCACATAAATCTTGAACTACTGGAAGCTGTTCATCTAATCTGTGCCATGCTGCTTGAGGTTCCCAACATGGCAAGCAATAACCTTGATGCAAAGCGAAAGGTCATAAGTAAGACTTTTCGGCGGTTGCTGGAAGTAAATGACAGACAAACATTTACTGGTCCCCCTGAAAATGTCAAGGATCACGTAGTGGCTGCCACCAGGGCCCTTGGCAAGGGAGACTTCCAAAAGGCCTTTGATGTTATCAACTCTCTAGATGTTTGGAAGCTTCTCAGAAACCGAGAGAGTGTCCTCGATATGGTTAAGGCCAAGATTAAGGAAGAGGCTTTGAGGACATATCTGTTCTTTTACTCATCTTCATACAACTCACTGAGCTTGGATCAACTCACCAAGATGTTTGACCTCACGGATGAACAGACACACAGCATTGTCAGCAAGATGATGATCAATGAAGAACTGCGCGGAAGTTGGGACCAGCCAACTCGCTGCATCATCTTCCACGACGTCCAGCATAGCAGGCTGCAAGCTTTGGCATTCCAGCTGACTGACAAGTTATCTATCCTTGCAGAAAGCAATGAAAGAGCAATTGAGTCTAGGATCGGCGGTGGTGGCTTGGATCTGAATCTGAGGCGACGAGATGGCCAAGATTACAGTGGAGGGATGACTGCTGGAGCTAACAAGTGGCAAGACTTGTCTTTCAATCAAGGACGGCAGGGAGCTGGTGGGCGATCAGGATATAATGTTGGTGGTGGTAGACAATCTGGGCTAGGCCAACATGGAGCTGGGTATTCACGGGATCGGACAGGTCAGCGAGGAGCAGGTGGATATTCCAGCAGAGCTGCTGCAATTAGGGGTTCTCAGGCAGATTCTTCCACTCGAATGGTTAGCCTAAACAGGGGAATTCACGCTTAGTAAAAAAGATAGTACGTCCAGTCGCTGCGGGAGAGAACTACTGGTAAAAGTTTGGTATTTTAGTAAAAACAGTTATATTTTTCTAAGTTTGAAGATTACTTAATAATTATTGTTAATTATGTACCTGAGCATCCTGTTTAGGGTGACTGTAATTCAGGATCTAGGACACATCCATATTCTCACTTGATTTCTTTATATTTATTTTGCATTTAGTGAATTTATTTAAAACTTTATTTGCTATACTAATTTTTTAATTATCATCCCTTAACCATCTGAAGAGTTAGGCCTTGTATAAATGAAAACTAAGGTGTAAAATATGTTAATTATAATGCTAATAATAATTAAACACTTTTTTAAAAAATTGTAGCAGTAAAGATAAATTTGACTCAGCTTTTACATAAATTATATTTTTCCCTCAAAAAATATTATCCGCTATCATGCTTGCATTTAAGTAATAATAATTTTTTAAAGCAAATTTGAAAATATTATTCATTCTGCCATATATATACAAGTACAATTGCACTGAAGTGGAACTGATAATCTTTTAAAACAAAAAGTACTTATAAGGTGTTGGAGTACGTACATACACATACTATATTTTAAATTTTTATAAAAAGAAAATAGAAAAATATATGAAAATAAAATCATGAGCTGCTAGCATCCATGTGGAGGCTTGTAAGGTATCGGTATGGCCTTCAAGGGCACAGACTTTCTGAGCGTAATTCCCATCCTCTCCGCCATATCCATCTCCTCCGCCTTGACACCATCCGCCAGAACCCAATCAAACGCCTGCAAGACTGAGCCAAGCGCCAGTGGCAGCACCCTGGAGGCCAGAGGGTGCGCAGGACACATCCTACGCCCAGACCCAAATGGTAAAAACTCAAAATGCTGACCCTTATAATCCATCTTGTTTGGCTCCATGAATCTCTCTGGTTTGAACGCTAATGGGTCATCCCAGTTCTTGGGGTCTCGCCCAATCGCCGACACGTTGACTAGAATTTGACTTTCCTTGGGGATGTGATACCCCATCATCTTGCAGGAGTTCATAGCCATGTGGGGCACTAGAAATGGAAGAGGTGGGTGGAGTCTTAAGGTTTCTTTAATCACGGCTCTTAGGTAAGGTAAATCGTTAACGTCTTTTTCTTCTGGCTTCTTCTTGCTCCTTCTCAGCTCTTCTTGCACTTTCTTTAACTTTTCTGGGTTGCGAAGAAGCTCTGCCATTGCCCACTCTAACGTGCTTGTCGTTGTATCGGTCCCTGCTGTAAACATCTCCTGGTACATACATACATATATATTCCCAGTGTCAGTATACATACATGTGTGTGTGTGTGCGGGTGGGTGAGTGATGTTAATTACTGAAAAAAAAAAGTAGGAGATGGGTTTACAAAGACGATAACGTTGATGGTTCTGGAAGAAAATCTAGAGACCTCCTCTACACCATCTCCTCGAAACTCCAGAAGCACATCTAAGAAATCCTTTTTCTTCTGCTTTTTAATATCTCCATCTTCTTCCATAGCGCTCATCTCTTTCTCCATTCTTTCCTTGATGAATCCTCCTGCAATTTCAAACGCTCGTTCGACATGGAACTGGGTCTTTCTCCTTATACCTTGTGGATCAAGAACCCTCAAAACTGGAAAGAAATCTGCAATATTTGGCTTACCAGCCAACTCCATGACCTTACCAGCATGGTAAAAAAACCTAGCACCTCTCTCTGAACTCGGGTCCAACAAATCCTTCGAGAAAATCAGGTTCCCAATCAGATTAAACGCCATCAAGAAAAAGAATCTTCCCACGTCAATCCCATTCTTGCCGCTGTCACGGCCGGCATCTTCAATGAACTGCACCATTCGGTCTATGCACCTCCCACGGACGCCTCTCATGGTGTCAAGGCGGCTTGTCACGAAAAACTCCGTGGTGCAAAGTCGTCTCAACATGCGCCAGTGAGGACCGTACTGAGAAGTAATCAGGGATCCTTCATGGCCATAATTTCCTTTCATGGCTTCGTAGATTTTTCTCCCTGCAAGAACCACGTCGTGGTTCTTGAACATTTCTTGAGCCACTTCGCTCGAGGAGATGACAACCGTGCCCATGGATCCTAACCAGAGAGTCATGATAGGCCCATGTTTGCGAGCTAACCTAGCCAGAGAATGGTGAGGTGGTTCCAAACCCAGTTGGAAAATGTTGCCAACCACCGGCCACCGTCTTGGTCCCGGTGGTAGGCTACCTAGCTCCTTTACTCGGCGATTATGGCGCTCCATTACCCATGTGATCCATATCAAAATGACTATGGTTAACCCTAAAATCTCATAAAGTTCCATTTATTATTTTCTGGAACCCGAAGTTAACTTGTTGTCTGCTTTTTTGTTGGTTTCTCTGAGTGGCTGCATTCTTCTTTTAGGCTCCATTTATACAAGTAACCTGATTGTTAGGTGACAAATCTATTCAAACATTATCAGTATATTTAGTAACTCGTCTTCATTTGCATCTGGGAATCTCTAAAGCACTGATTTTTATCCATAAATTATATAAAAATGAAATTTTTTTTTGAAGGTAAACCAATTGCTTTCAAGTTGAAATAAACAGACAAATTATACGTACATATATATATATACACACACACACACACACACATGCAAAAGATAAGGCGCAGATCTTTTGTTAACTCTTCTAGCAAGCTTTTCTTCTTAAATTTTGTTTATTTATTATAATAGAAGCTGTGTACGTGTGAAGTTTTAGAGTTAATAAAGCTAAAAGACTTCCTGTGAGTTAAAAACATTTTTGTAAGATTTTATTCTCATGAGAGGGAAATAAAATATACACCAGAATGAACACTCAGTTCAACGATGAAAGAAGGTTTATGAAAACGTGACCAATTGACTCATCATGGAACCCATGCATTACGTATTTATTTATGTAAAAAATTATATATTTTGTTAAGCCAATAATTTATTTAAAAATTGATTCATATAATATAAAAATGAAATAGGTAGAATGGAAGCAAAGATGGCATCTGCGATGAAGTAAGAATAAAATGTGGGGTTTATAATTCTATAATTTAAACAAAATGTCAACGTCATGAGAATTTGTGATATACCTACGTGACAAAATAATGATTATATATATATATATGTATATGTCAGTATCATAAGAATTATCAAACTCATGATGATGTCATGAAAATCGGATCACATCATGAACAGCAGAAAATAAGAAAATGCGAGTCTTACGTAGACGTAGACAAATATTCGCCATTATATATAAGGCCTAATTAACGACTGAAATCCAAGTGCAAAAGGAGCTTGCTTATATATATTTTTTTATTGTGTTTGTAAATATACTATATATATATATATATATATATACTTGGTAGGTCGTTAATATGTATTAACTGATATACACGTATGTTAATAACATGGTCAAAGAAATGTTGATTTTTGTGTTTTATTTGATTTAACAAAATCAATAATTTAAGTCACTCGGTATATTAATAAGACCAAGATAATTAAATTTAGTTTTCTCTCGATGAATCTACTATATTGAAAAAATATACATTTTAAGCGGTTAAATTTTTAGTTTATTACAAAAATTTAAAATTCAATATGATATTTTTAACATATCATAATCAATTTACATGTATATCGATGACAAAAAAAATCTCACATCATGCACTAATTAGACTTGAAAGCATAATTTACTTTTTATTGGGATTAAAAAAGAATATGAAAACATTAATTTACTTAATCATATCCTTCCCGATTTTAACCTCATTTATAAAATAAAGTTTTGATAATATAATATTTTATTTTAATTAACATAATGTTAATAAATTTAAAATATAATATTATAATATTGTTATTCATTAAAAAATATTGTATTATAACGTGAACTTTTTAATTATCTGTGACTAATTCAATTAAAGCAACTTTAGTTGTTACAAAAAATTTTATTCGTCTAAAAATATAATAAATTCATTGAGATTTAGTTAATTTAATTCTCAGAATCTTATAAATATATTAATAAATTAAGTAACTACTGTCGTTTGAATCAAACATTATAAATTTGTCACTATTTATCTATAATATATTTTTAATAATATTAAAATTCGATGAACTTAAAAAAATTTTTCCATCGAGGACCAACAATAGAAACTTACATATATAATTTGAATTTTTTGTAACGTTAGATTTTTGTCATGCGTTTCAGGATCCTCTTTTAATTTTCATGTTGTCTTGCGTATATAATTGAAACAAACGGTCCCCTCCTATTGATTAGGGCCTAAACTAGTCGCCAAAAGATATAATCGTTTGCATGGTTAGCCAGGTTAGGTGAGTCAACTCGGTCCCCTCCAAATACTTGTCCTCTTGACTCATGTATACACACACATACTATTTCTTTAATCTGTTTGATTATGGTGTGTTTGGCATATATCTTGTGGGAATCATCTGATTGGGCTTCAGCATTACACAACTAATTGTCCCTTTTGATCAATTAATAATATGTACTCGATTGAGATTTCCATTATTTGATTCGTAGTAATTTGATTAGATCATATAATTCGACGCATTATTTGTACAAATCCTATGTGGTCCTAATTTTTATTCCTAATATGTTTAAAATAAATTAAAAATTTAAGAAAATATTTAGTTTAATTATGAAACAATATAAACAATTTCGACAATAGAAACTTAATAGTAAAAATTGTTGTAATGTATGTCAAATTTTATAAAATTTTCATTTTAAATAAGTAAATTATAGTATAAAGATAACCACAAATTATTATATATTAACTTTAATATATACAATAGGTAAAGAACATGAAAATTAGTCACCATATTTATATCTTATCTATCTACAACAAACCATGAGCCATGACCCATTCTAATCGTAAAGGCCGTTTAGGACGCCCAAAGAAGGATGTCTTCATATATATATATCAAATAAAGAAGATTATCTTGGGTATATATACACAAAATCCATTAATAATGACTCCAGCGGGACAAGTACCGGGATAATACAAAAAAAAAAAAAAATACGCTTAATAATAATGTAGTTTTGCATTATTTAAAGTATATAATTTTTATTTAAAAAATAAACAAATGAAGTACATATCTATTACACATATTTTACTTTATTATATTATTGTTAATTTTAAAATATATATATAACAGATAAATGGAAATATATATATATATATATTGCTTGGTAGAGAAGATAAGAATCAATAAATCTAAAAAATATTGTCTTTTATTTTTTCACATTCTTAAGACTATTTTTTAAGAACTTAATAATAGCAGTATATTTTTTTAATGTTACCACATCAAAAGCTAATAACTCATAATATAGTCGGTAGTAAGACGTGTTGCAGATGATTAGAGGGTCAGACATAAAGCTAGTGATATTGACAATCAATCATAAGACACAGTCTCAAATGATTGGTCGTATAATTCACAGTTACTAATACGTAGAGCTAAAGCTTCCCACAACGGCATCGTTTCTGGGGAGACTATTTAGTGAGCCCAAATGGGCTTGGGATAGGCCCAGTTGAAAAGAACCTATTTCAGGCCTGGCCCGAGTAAAAAAGGCTTCAAGCTAAGGCTTTGGGCTTGGAAAATGGTTTGGGTTTGGGTTTATGTTTGAGAGGACTTTTGGTTGGTTAAAGCTAGGGGTTCAAATTAGCAAAAGAGGATTAATTTTCGGCCTCAACTAAAAAAATCAAAGGAGGTTTTGGGCTTTAGCTTTGACTTCAAGATATGACTTAAAACAAAGAGGAACTTTTGATAGCAAAATCAGTTCAATAATATTAATTAATTAATAATAATATGATAAATAAATATTTAAAAAAATAAAAAAAAATTAGTCCGGAATAAATTAGACTACTACAATAGTAACCTTAATGAGGTTCTCAAATAGTAGTATCATCATTGATATTATGGTAAACTTCTATTATGTATATAATATGCAGAATCTCAATACAAGATTGAAACCATACTCATAATTCATTTATTGATTTAGTAGGTCCTCCTTTCTTTTCCCCTTCTCCTCCAAGCTGGCACAAGTTCATCACTAGCAATTCTGTTTATATTCTCGATGACAATATCATTGTTGGTAGTCTTAGCATGACAATTATGATAATTAATTATTGTCTTTATATATAATATTGGTATCAGTGATGTTTTGCATGTTGAGCTCCTTAGTGTATCAAATTGGCTCAAGATCGCTTCGATGTTGAATATCAATAAGTATATCATCAAGATGAATTTTAGTCCTCGCACTTCCACCATGAAGACAACATTTACACTAACTGACCTACCTCATTTGATTTGATATGGTTTATGCTATTGATTGAACAATTATTGTATTTCTTATTGATTTTTTTCTCTTGCAACCACAAAAAAAAAAAAAAAAAAAAAACTGTAAGCATTATAATTAAATAATATTATTAACTATCTACATTATAACATCATTATATATATATATTTATATATATGTGTATATTCGTGATAAAAAAAAATAAGATGCATACTTTTTAATTTTACTTTTATACTTATCTAGACTTACTTCTAATAGATTTTAGTATTCTTAACTCTTAATGTTAAAGATAATATTATACATAGATGAAATACATACTCAAGCTTTAATCTCATACTTCTTAAAATTTGTATTTTAATTTTATGTATTAATTTGAGTATTAAATTATTATAGTAAATCTGTTACCATATATGTTTATTGTAAATTAAGAACAAAAACGATATCATTTGACAATATATTATGTTAAATTTTGACAAAAATTTACTGGACTATCATGTCAAAATATTAGTTTTATATCATACTAGCTTATTAATTTTGTCTGATTATGATATTTAAAATTTAAAACAGTTTTAACACTTTAAAAAATATATATTTAAAATTTAATATAAATAATTACAAATTATTTGACCCTCAAAGTTTACATTTGTGATTGAAGGAGATATTTAAGTAAATAAATTAGGATGAAAAGAAATGTAATAAAATGAAAAGAAAACAGTAGTTATTTAATAAGGGAAAATAATTTTTTTTTTTTATTGTTTGAATAGCTAAAAGTTGTGAAAAAAGGTAAAAACATCGTGGTAATTGTCCTAATATTTATCATCATACTTATCCTATTTAGCAGATTTATGACTAATATTCAAATTCAAAATATATCTTATACCTTATATATAAAGAATAACACACATAAAATGTAAATATTATTCACTGTTTAATCAAATAAAAAATTAATTCATGCATATTTAGCATAATAATATTTTATAAACGAAATAAAATGATTTCTTAGAAACAAATAGTCAATAATATTATTTATTAGTATAATAATAAGTTAATTAATAAAGATAAAAGATAATTTTCTTTTAAAAATAATTTTATAAAAAACCAAGAGCCCAGGCAAGATCCGCCACGTAAATCCATCATGTAGGCCCCACATACGAAGCTTCTCTCACGGCCCACAAAAACAACAACGTAAAACACAGCCCATGTCGGTTTCTCTTCTTTATTCTTCAGTCGAGCGACTCTACGCCATTTCAAGTGAAAGACTGACGAAAGAGGAGAAATGACCAGCGCCTCCCTCGCCTGTATGAGTTGTCCAATGAAAGGAATTCTGCTGTATCGGATATACAGAGCACTAACATACGGTCTATCGCCATTGCTGCACCTGCATCTGCGATGGCGCAAGCTCCGTGGCCTCGAGCATCCTCACCGTTGGCCGGAGCGCTTGGGCTGCTCTTCCCTCCCTCGCCCTCCCACCCCGCTCCTTTGGTTTCACGCCGTCTCGTTAGGTCCTAATTCGTGCTTATATCAACTAAATTGAGTCTAATCTTTAGTAATTTTTTAGTAATCAAATGAGATATTTGTTAGTGTTGATTTTTAAATACAATTTGTTATCTAGGTGAAGGAATGGCTGCGATTCCTGTAATTAAACACTGCAACCAGTTGAGGCCTGATTTGACTGTTTTGATGACAACGACGACTCTGTCTGCATCGTACGACCTACTGCCTTCTTCTTCATTATAAAATCTTCTTAGTTGAAGCTTTCCTAGGACCTGTACGCATAAAAAATATGCATGATTCAATAAAATTATCCAAAGACATAGTGATTAAAGGGAAGTGAAAAAGGTGAGAAAGAAAAAGAACGAGAAACTCTCTAGTTTCGTAAATCATAGTCGTTATGGTCAGCCGGGAAAGTAAGAGCATCACAGAACTATTTGAGACTTATTTATTTAATCAATTATGTGTTGCAGCGAAGTGATAAGGAATCGGCTTCCTGCTGGTGTCATCCATCAGGTACTTTCTGTATGGACTCTGCTGACTGTTGGTGACGTTTTTCTGTGGGATCAAACTTTCAACAATATTAAATTTGATTTTTGCCTGCACTCCCTTCACCCTTGGCTCTAGCTTAGAGTTGAACTTTCGTGAATGACCTCATGAGAGTAAAGGAATTACTGATGGTGCCGTCTATTAGGTACTTTGTCTATGGACTCGGATGACTGTTGGTGATATTTTTCTGTGGAATCAAGCGTTAAACAATATTAAATTTGATTTTTTTTTTCTGCACTCCCTTCACCCTTGGCTCTAGCTTAGAGTTGAACTTTAGTGAAAGATCTCATCAAGTAAAGGAATTACTGATATTACACATGTAATGTTTTACCTGTAGCATTCAGAGCCTTGTGGCTGCAAAGATCTATTCTGCTGCTTGAAATGTTTATAAGGTTGCACTCTCTCTTCAACAGCATTGGCTTAAAATATTGCCACTGACATGATAAGTACTGCAAATGCAATATAAACTTGGAAATGTTGCTGTGGTTGCTCGGAATGTTTTAATATTGAGTTTGATTCTTTTTAGTCGTTGAATTTCTTAGTAGCTGATGGATTTTTTCCATGTTAATGAAGGTAATTGTTTAGTAAAAATCCCATGGATATTGAATTACTAAAGAAAATTCTCAAATATTCAATTATGTATACATACAGATACATATGTTTTAAGGAATCATAGGAATAAATGTTGTTCATTGTTTCTGTTATAATTTCTGTCCAGGGTGAAAGACAGTTTACTGTACACTGAATCTCTCTTTGTTCAATTATTGATGTTATTTTCTGGCAATGTGCTAAGAATTTTTTATATTGAATCAGTTTGCCCCGGTTGACACCCCCAAAGCTATTGACACATTCCTTAGACATTGGAAGCCAAATGCAATCGTCATCATGGAGAACGAAATATGGCCCAATCTTATTATGGGTGCTTCAAACTTTGGTGTAAGTTATTTTTTCTTTTCAGTACATGTTCAACCTCTCTTTTTGCCTTATTTCTGAGAGTATTGTAGTAATATGCTCCTACATAAATGGATTCAATCACATAAGATCAATTATTTCTCTTTTTTTGGTCTGAGTTCTGAAGAATTTCTTAGGCCATGCTCGTAAGCAACCACAACTGTTCAATGAAAATCACTTTCTATCCCCTTACTCTTCATTGTTTTGATAATTTATTGACTGTATTATTTTGTTGGTTTTAGCTTGTTATGTTCCAAATACTACCTTGTTGTATCCTCCTTCTCCTAGGTTGTCTTACTCTGCAAATTTCATTTCTGTTTCTTTAGTGTCACACAGTTAACATTTCCGTTATTTACATCCGTTGCTTCCCTACAGATTCCATTGGCGCTGTTAAATGCTCGGATGTCAGTTAAATCTTTTAAACTATGGTCGACACCAGTTTTTCTTCCACTGATCTCATTATTACTGTCAAAATTTTCCTTGATTGTTCCATTGGTATGTAATCCAATATTGTATTTTAAAGCAATTTTTGTATTCTATTCCAGCAATTTGAAGTAATGTGCTCCCAACACCAAATTTTACATGTAGTTCTCACTGATCTTACTGCATACAGAGCACCATGCAGGCAATCCACTTCCAGTCACTGCAAGCTCCACCTTCTGTCATCAACTTTTCTGGTGACTTGAAATATGGTTTGATATAGATCCTTCTATATGTAGAAATACAGGTTGTCACCTGAAATTTTAGTCTGTCATTATAAATCTTTTATCAGGCTTACTTTTCCTTTGCTTGGCTATAATAAGAAGGTGATTCTTTCAGGGCCTGTTGAAACTCTCCTTCCACCTGCTATTTTCTTATATCTTATTCTGTATTGTACTTTAATTGCAGTAATTGCCTAATAAGACAAATAAGGCCCATTCCAATCCTCAATTTGTTTGTTTTAGTGGTAAATGAAAATGATGCTTCTGAGGGATGGATAGAGAGTGCAGCAGACCTGGAAGCACACTTTGGCCACAGAAAGGTCTGGATTGCTTCATCTATACATAAAGGTGAAGAAGAAGGTTTGTCTTCCAACTTTCTTTTTGTTGCTGTTCTTTAGCTTCTCTTTTTCCATTGCTCAAGACGTCTATGCAAAGGATTGACAACATATTAAGGTGGCAGCTTTGAACTCAAGAGACTTAATTTTAGACATGTAGTTTAAAGTTGTTTGGATATTCTCGCCTTTGTCTTGTTAATTTCTAACTTCTATCCAACTTTTCTTCTCAGGTAATTATTATTCAATTTCCAAAACCATAGCTTTTGTTACAAATTTGTCCCAAATATTTTTTTTTCAGTTACCTTTGGTCCCAAAATTGACACGCATGTTTTAATTCGTAATAAAATTTAGTCTAAAACTTGAGTGAAAAATCTATGATAGTTTGACATCCTAATTGTGTAATTAAAGAAAGAGTACGACTAATTCTAAAAAAGGACTGTAGTTTCAGAGCAAGAATGTTAATTGACTGAAAAGACTTATTTGCAATTACAACTATTAGATATTCTAGTCTACACTTGCATGAGTTTGCTTATCTTTTTTGAAATGATCAAAACTGCTGCAGCAATATTAGGTGTTCATTATGAGCTCATACGAATGCATCCTGATATGATAACTATTATTGCTCCTCGACATCCACAACATGGAAGAGAGATTGCTCAAGTATGATCCTCCTCAATATCTTCCAAGTCACATTATGAGTGTCATTATTTATGTTGTGCCTGTTATTGTCTTCCAGTTGTTTTACTCCATATGATACGTTTCTGTCTGCAACTGTGCCAACTATTTACATCTGCACGCTTCCAATAATGTTATTTGCTCTAGTCTTAACACACTGGTGCTTGGAATTACGGTTCAGTTCATGGCTAAACTCTGTGACTTTGTTCTATGAAAAGAGAATACTAATAAGAAAGTAAAACTTCATGACTTTGTTGAAGTAGGCTTCTTTGTCGAAATATTTGGATTTTGCAGTGGAAATATATGTCCAAAGAATATTTTAAAGATAAATGCTTCTGGAAATGTACGTTCAAAGAGTATTTTAAAGATAAATGCTTCTTTAACTTGGGGAATAACTCTTGCAACTTCTATAGAACCTTTACTGGCAAACATTGCAGCATGCACTTGAGACTCAAGGCCTCCTTAGAGTTCTCATCTTGTATAACTTTGCCTGTGTGATAAAAATCTTGAATTAATCTCTATCCGGTCCATGATAATACTTCGGGAATTACGTTGCGATGAACTGCAATATCAGGATCAAGCTTCAAATGGTACATAGTCGTTAGAATATTATTATAGATAATCTGTGAATTTATGATTTAATAATATAACCAATTTACTTCCTTCCTGATCTCCTTCTGTACTTTATCCCAATGGATCTCTTCTTAAGGTAGGTGTTCAAGAATATATACTGGCACTTAGCTCAATCAAAATTCATTGATTGAATGATTGGCTTTATTTCATGTGGCTTTGGGTGTCTCAATGTGGCTTGCACAGGAATTGTGGAATCGGGGGCAAAGTGTATCTTTGAGATCTCAACATAAAAAGCTTAATCTGGAAACCAGTATATATGTGGTGGACACATTAGGTCTGCAGTTTTTTTCCTTTTCTTTATTTTCTTTTGTTCACTCAAGAAATGCACCTCTACTCTAGTTTTATTTCTGCTTCAGTTTACCAAAAATGATCTGACTATCTTGCATTAGTTGGGAACCTTTTTATAGAGAGAAAAAGAATGAAAATAATATTAATGAGGCACCAAGGAGATGGCACCCCAGTACAAGGGAAATTTACATGTCAGTATCAGCCAGAATATCTGTAAAGTTTCCAAGATTTATTCATCAAAAAGATGATGTCCATACATATGGTCTAGAACTGATGATCCTTAATTCTGCCAAAGGGAGAACAAACATCCCTGAAATATTTCCTTCTGAATGACACAAAAATTTCTGAAGGAGCTTCTTTCTCAACTTGCTCGCCCGAAGGCCCTCCCAAGCCCATGGATCAGCGTCCACCAACTCGCCAACCACCAACTAGGGTTAAGAAGTTTGGAAAGAATCCCACATCCTTTTGGCCTCTGCCTACCAAACGGACAATAGGGAACTTGTTGGTAATGAACATCTGTAAGAAGCTGAGTATTGAATCAGATTAGAATGTTTTAAGTGATTCTTCTGATGCCATAGCAAATTATTGAGTGTTTCATTGTGGGGGAGCAGAAAAAGTTACAGTAGTGAACATATCTTTGAGTTAGTTTTCTGGTCGTGCATCAATCATCATGTTCACTTGGAGCCAGGCAATTAACTAGATCAGGACCAAGCGGTATAGTGAGATACTCAAAAAGGAAAATAGATAGTTTGATCTCATCGAATATGATTACTACTTGTCAGTTGTCACCTTTTCTTTTCCATGAGACTCCAAGAAAATATGGTCAATCTCCATAAACTCACACTTGGAAGCATGAGCCTTTGTGATGCATGTTCCTTACACTTCAAAGAAAAGGTAAAATGCTTTGTTTTAGGGTTAGAGAGTATATTCAGAATGAGATTCTTCCAATTACAAGTAGAAAATAATTACTATTACAACCTGGAACATCTGGTAACTTGGCCACCTGTGATAAGTATAACTATGACTTCCAGTATTTAGGATTCTGTCAGTCTTTGAAGGGCATTAATTTGAAGTACTTCTTGAGCCGTTTTAACTTTCTTATGATTGGAAGCATGAAAGCGTTGATGAAGCCCTAGAAATAAATATTCTACTTCAAACGTTAAGATACTTTTGCTCATATTTTTACAAATTTGTTTGATAACCGTGTATCCTTTTTCAACTTATTTGTAGGTGAATTGAGAGACTTCTACAAGATAACTCCAATAGCTGTAATTGGTGGTTCGTTTGTCCCTGGTTTAGCTGGTCATAACATATCAGAAGCTGCTGCTGCTGGCTGTGCTATTCTGACTGGTGTGTGATTTTGTTGTCACCTTTTATCTTTGTTTCTTGGTAACATTAATTTACTTCTTTTTTTTTATTGGCTAATTTCAGGCCAACATATTGGGCATTTCTCGCACATGGTGCTGGAAATGCAAAAATTAAATCCTCTGTCAGTTCTGCAGGTTTGACAAATTTTTTCCATTTTATATTCCTCTCTTTTCAGGAACATATCAGTAATCAGTTAAAAAGACCGTATTTGGAATGGAATCTTTTAAATTGACATCTATCTTTGAACAGCATAATTTGATGATGGTAAACTGAGAGTTGTGGCCTTGATATATTTTAAACATATTAGACTGGCAGTTAACTAAAACTCTCAAGTGTTTAGGAAACAAACATAAAAAAAGATAATAGAGAATAAAATCCTAAAAAAGATGTTCTTAATTCATTATCGTCTATCTCTTTATTGATAATTAGTTACTTACCTTCGTATAGGATTAATTACAACTAATGAGAAAAATATCAAACTGATTAAAGAAGAAATCAAAAGCTTCCATGACTTAAAATCTACTTAGACAACCTAAGTTTCTGATAATATAAAATCTACATAAATAAGCTAAATAAATTGAAGATACTAAAAAATAATAGTTATTACAAAAGAGTTACTTTAGTACGAAATTTATTCTTTTTTCTGCATCAGTGTTATATATATATATAGGACAGGAGAGAGAGAGAGAGAGAGAGTAGAATTTGGCGTCTGTACAAAAAGGGATCCTAGAGTTTTTTACTGCAGTGAGTGAAAACAAAAAACAAATATTCGCAGAAAAGAAATAGCAGATAGTCTATATTCAATTTTCATTCTCTCAGATTTATTTATGGCTAAAAAGCAATAACTTCTTATCAAATATTGCAATATCAAGACCTTTTATCTCATTTCTCTTATGGGCTCTATTTATGAAAGTCTTCCATTATTTTAATATCTAGTGGGATTATTGGTGCTTTGAGTGGGAAATTTGAACATAAGGTACTTGATTATCACAAAGCAAGAATCAGAGGACAATTTTTAAGCTAAGGTGTTAACAGGATTCTAAGACCGTTTGCAAAATTCCAAAACTCCTATGCTTTGGCTAGCGTAGCCCCTAGGGGTTTGAACCTAACCTAGCATAATCGTAAGTTCCATTTTGTGGTTGAATATCATATTTCTTCATGGTTTTTAAATCATCTTATTTTATCTTGAACCGGTAAATGAGTACATAGATTATTACAAATCTAAGAAAAATATCTTGGGTAGCAAGTTTCAGAAGTTCCAGTAGTATCCTTTCTTCTAGTGGTCAAACATTAAAGGGCCAGTATTCACTATCTAAGCAGGTATCCAGCAAATTAGAGCTCGGAGAGGCTCTCAAAGAGCTTTTTAGTAACTCTGAAGTTCTTAAAGCACGACAAACAGCGGCAAAGCAAGCATTTCATACTCTGTCAAGTGGGATCGTTGAGAAGGTGTGGAATCTGCTGAATCTCCATGTCTTGAGAAGGCTTTGTTTAGAGAATAAATGAAGACCAGCAGACAATATAAGTAAATTTTAAGGTGAAGCTTGCGGATCTCTCTGACATTGAAGCAATCTGTAAGTAGGCAATAGTTATCTTGCGTGTCTTTTGCTGACCATCGTTTAACAAATGATGCAGTTGAGGTTGATTCTCAAAAGAACAGTGTTAATGGTGAGAAACATGGACTCCTTTATTAAATTCTGAAGAAGAGATGCCACTTGGAGACGAGTGTATCCACTACTTCAGATGGTCATCTAACATCAATCTGGCATGTTGTTTTGATGTGTCGATCTTCCTGTAAAACCACGGAGAAGTGGCCTTGAGAGTCCCAATAAGAGTTCAATGCAAGCTTTGTTTTTCCATCTGCGTGGTAAATGACTTGTCTGATGTTTGAACGTACTAGCTCACAGTGAATCAGTATCTTCAAAGAGAGTGATTACAAGGTATAACCAGGGAAACACCTTAGTTCAGATCGTATTCTCCATTTTTAATCATTTATAGAAAACTGGTGGTTAGGTAATCTCTACTTCCAATAAACCTCGTGCCTGCTTCTCCTACAATAACAGATGAGTTCCAGGATTGACATCTTTAGCCAGTTTCTCCTCACCGCCTCAAGCTTTGCTACTTTTGAGCTTCTATGTTGCCAGATTGATCACATTCATGGCAGAGAGGACGTTGGATTAAAGTTGGCGGTATGTTAGTTCACTTTCTATCTTTTAGACTCTAATCTGGTATTCATTGCCTGACAATTTCTCTGGTGCCACTCTCAAGTATAATGGCCTTTTAGGGGAGTTAGATCTTTGACTTCGTTGCTTTTTTCCTGCCCAAATTTTATGTTTGCAAATAAGTTTAGGTCTTTATACCTACTCGTATAGTTTTTTATGTCCCGCGGAAGTCAAAGTTTAGGAAAAATTCATGGAGCTTTTATGGTATGTTTGTTTAACTGTATACGACAATATGTCAAAAATATATTTGCTATTATGTGACTGAGACTTTTTTAATAAAATTATGTGATAATAGCTTGGCGGTTGAACTATAGTTACTTTACAGTTGTGATTATTGAAAAAGTTATAATTATGATTCATGGCTGGGAATCACAAATCAGGATTACAGCTTGCATGTAATTGCATTTGGTTAGACTGTAAATATATTTTCTTTAAAGTACTTATTTACAAATTTATCTTTTATAGAATTTTTAAACATTAAAAAAATTGAATTATAAAAGAATTTCACATATTTTTTCAGAAAATTAATTTGTTAAATTATATACATATGCGTGTGTGTGTGTGTGTGTAATCGAGCTACATGGAACAACTGGGTTCTGTTATATTCCACTCAGTGTATGTAGAATAAGTTAGGCACAATTGTACTTTTTTTAATTCTAATAGAAGAAATTATGAAGGCGGCTTAGTTTTTTATGATTATGTTCATATATTACGTATATAAACGAAATAACAAGTGAAGAAATAAACGCTTGCTATAAATATTATCACTATGATGTCATTGTGGAAACTTTGTTCTGATTTATTGGTTTCATCATCTTAACTTATGGCGTAAGGCGCTGAAAACAAATTTTATTGGGATTGATTAGTTCAAGCTTTTGTTTTAGTTATGATAGTAGAATTTGCACTGTCCAATTTTAGGTCAAAATTATTTTATTAAGAGTTGTCTCATCCCCTTCATGTGAAGAACTTATTTATTCATTTATTTAGAAAATGCTAACTTTAACTGGTTCATTCTCTCCCGAAAATCCAGGGTGCGGGAATCAAGCCAAATAAGTGGGATTTCAGATTCTGCTCAGGCTTCTGCATGTTTTGTTGGTATAACTTCTGAAAAGCTACTTTTTTTTTTTTTTTTTGGAAAGAAAACCATGGGTTTTGTTTAAATAATTTTTAAAAACAAATATAAATAATTTCACTTTTGGAGGACCCCTAATGAGGTTGAATCAAATAGTAAAATCCCTCAGTCTCTGTCTTTTGAATAAATTAATCAGCTAATAACATGGCTTACAAAGTACAGATATTGGGGTGAAATTTAGTGAACTCAAACTTGATCCCTGACTTGAAAGTTAAAATCCGAATTGAAACGGCCCAATTTTATCTGACCCTCTACCATTTCAATTTCTAATTTTGTAGCTATCTGGGCTTGTCTTATTTTTTATTTCAAAACAGTCAACTACGACAATTTACCCTCTCTTTCGATTCAAACTTAGTTTATATTTTTCAATAATTATATTAAACATACAATGATAGAGACTGGTTGGATAAGGCGACTTCTGAGCTTCCAAACTCGAGATCAACTTTACCCAACCAATGGTGTTTCTGTATTAAATTTTATTTTACCCAAATCGAACCCTTTTTTTTATTTTTGGTAAAAACACTATAATAGAACAGAACAAAGCATTTCAAATTTATCATTTCTCAGATTTGTTTGGTATTCTTAATTAACAACATGACATAACCAACACAAATAAAACGATTAAGAGTGAAATGATTTCATTCATAGGCCCTGACACTTTTGTTTTTTTTTTTTTTTTTTCTTTTGCTGACCCACACCAAAAGTGACATGAAAATTCAGAACGCCAATCCCGCCATCAATCCCTCCCCCCCCTCTCTCTCTCTCTCTCTTCTTTTTTCTCTTTTCCTGTTTGTTCTCTGCATGTTTCGTTATAAAAAAAAAAAAGGTAAAATAGTTTGCAGTGCAAAGATTTATCTTTAAAAAAAAAAAAAAAAAAAAGCTGTAAGTGTTTTCCTTTGCTTTTGGGGACACCATTACTGTACTGGTGTAATGAATGACCCACCAGGGTTCCAAAACTAGTATTCTTGTTTAATGTTTGCATGTCAACTGAATTATCTGATAATCAATGAAGAAAGGTGAAATAATACCATGCCATACATAAATAATGGATAATTAGTTAATACGTCAATTTGTTAGTAAATAAACATTGAGTTATAAATCAAGTTTTAAGTGTTGATTCTTTTACACTGTCTATTTTTAATTGAATTTAATATATATATATATATATCTCTCTCTCAATTTGTGAAAGTTGATCGTATAATATCATAATTATTTAAAAATAAAAAAATAAAAGTAGTTGCTAATAGATGGGCTTCTCCTCCTTTTGGAGAAACTGGGGCAAACCAACAGGGTTTTGTGTACAACTTTTGCTAAAGAAAGGTAAGGGCTTAAAGAGGCAACCTGAAAAAGACAAGGGTGATGTTAACCCTTCCTTTTCTTCTTCTTCTTCTTTTCTCTCTACCCCATTGATGTAACCGAGGTTACCTCGGAGCAAAAATAATTTTGTGAGAAGAGCTCAACCAAAGAAGGTCGGATGGCAAATTAACTCAAAAATTATATAACATGTATAATTCTTGCCCAACAACATGGTATAAATATAACGGAGATTTCTATATAGATTTTCGATAAATAAAATGTTAAACCAAGGGTTATACTATATTTCTTTAGATGTTTCAATAAACTTTCAGCAGTTATGTGACAATCTTAAATGATTAGGGTACAAATTTTTTTAAAATGTTAGGTGATTACAACACAAAAAAGAGTTGTGATATGAAAGTATATACCTAAAACATAATAAATTGAAGTCAAGAGCAATTTGGTTTAGTGGAAGTATAAGTTCCTATAGTTTATAACCACAAGTTTGAGTACCCAAAAGAAATAATAATAATAATAATATCACATCAAAATTATACCCCTTTTGGGTTCTTATACATATATACTATCAATCAGCATGTAAAGTCAGCATGAAGAAGTGAACAGTGGAAAAAGTTGTCAAATGGGTATTGTGTAAATGTGAAGAAAAACAAATAGGTATGGAGTTTAGACATATTTTTTTCAAATATATATATATATATATATATATAAAGAAAAAGAGAGAAGAATGAATGGTTAGGAGAGTAGTATAGTCAATGCTTTCCTTATGCATGGCAACTTTGCTTTCATATGACTTAAAGTTGGCATTGGTTTTCTTTTCCTTTACTACCTAAATAATTATAAGGGACCAGCACCAGGCAAATCAATTAAGAGCCACTCCCTCTTTAATCACTTAAAGTTGTCTCTCAGTCAAATTTGTATCTTTTTGTTTTTCTTTTTTGAGTTTGTATCTGTATACAATATATATTTTATATAATAGATCAATAGTTTACGGATTTCAAATAGTATTTTAAGGGGTAACATTTTGAATGTACCAGAAATTATACTCTTAAAATTTTGTGTTAATTTATTTGAAAATGATTTTGTTGTACTTAAAATATGAGACATTTGAAAATCTTGAAATTATTTTCTTTAGAAAAAAAATATAAAAGCAGAAGAAAACAGGATATATATATATATATATATATATATATCCTCTAATAATAGGAAAATGAGAGACAATTTGAATTTTGAAAAGCAAATAAAATCTTGAGTAGAATCCATGGTGTGAAAATCAGTGTGCAAGTTGTGGTACAGAAATTTGTCGTCTTGGGAGACCAAGTAAAATTTGACAAAATACGGAAGATTTAACAAGAATTTACTGTATATTCTACTAGATTCAACTCCATAGATGAACACCGACACCCTATATATATATTAGAATACATATATATATATGTATATATAAACCTAAAAAAGGTTATGATAGTTACAGATGATAGTGCTTTATAATCACCAATTAAAATCCAATCCAGAATTTTATTTTTTAGAAAGAGAAATACAATGCAGAATTGAACATAAATACAAATTTCATAATTCAGAAATTTTAATTATGAAATTATTCAATATCTATTGTATTTATTAGACCTAAACTATTAATTTAACTTAGGCTTACGCGACTAATTTTTTTTTTTTTTTTACTTGGATTCAAATGTAAAACTGAATTTAAACCAAAAAGAAAATTATAACACTATACAGAATTCATAAAATTACCAAATTGGTCACTAATTGAAAATATTTTTATATTAAAAGATGAGTAGCTCTTTAAATTTTACTCGGTTTTATGAGTGGAGAGTGGAGAGTGGAGAACAGCAATCATTGACACAACCCTCTCCTTCTCCAATTTCCATGTTCTAAAAATGTCACCTTTGAGCATTCACAGACAAACTCTCTCTCTCTCTCTCTGTCTCTCTATAGATGTATGTATACAGATATCTTTATGTCAAACATATATAGATCTTTAAAAAAGTGTATGCAAATATTAATTTAAAAATCTTTATCTCTCCCTTTAATCAATACCCACAATCCCTTCCCCCCTCCCCCTTCCTCAATCCCCACTTCCCATTTTCTCTCTTCAGAAATCAAGAATTGGGAAACTTGAAAAGTTTGCATTTTGATTTTCTCCTTCATGTTTTGTTTCTTTGGAGGGTTTCTAAGATGACAAAACACAGAGAGAGACATTTTGTCCCAATCTTCCTTTGTTTGTTTCTCGTCTAATTTTTCTTAAGAAAACAATTCTCTGTTTTTCGCTCACTCCCTCACTCTTCCCGCCCAATATTCTCTAAACTAAAACATGAACAACAACAATCCTACTCTCTTCTTCTTCCTCTTTTTCTTCCTTGTTTTCCTCTCTTTTTCCTTTTCCTATGCTGGAAATGACACAAATGCCCTCACTCTCTTCCGTCTCCAGACCGACACCCACGGCAACCTCCACCGCAATTGGACTGGTTCCAACGCCTGCTCCGCCACGTGGCGCGGCGTGCTCTGTTCCTCCGATGGCCGCGTCACTGAGCTCTCACTTCCTTCCCTCTCCCTGCGTGGTCCGCTTACCTCACTGTCCCTTCTGGACCAGCTTCGCATTCTTGATCTCCATGATAACCGTCTGAATGGTACGATTTCGCCTCTTGTTAACTGTACCAACCTTAAGCTTCTTTACCTCTCTGGGAACGACTTCTCCAGCGAGATACCGCCGGAGATCTCGTCTCTCAAGCGTCTCTTGCGACTAGACCTCTCCGACAACAACATTCGTGGAGCAATTCCCGATGAGATGTCAAACTTGAGTAAGCTCCTGACGCTCCGGCTCGAGAACAACGAGCTCACGGGCCAAATTCCCGACCTCTCCAACATTAAAGCACTGAAAGAACTTAACTTGTCCAACAACGAGTTCTACGGTCGGTTGCCCGACGCTTTGTTGAGGAAATTCGGCGGGCAGAGTTTCTCCGGAAACGAGGGGATTTGCGGGTCGGATCCTCTGCCCATTTGCTCATTCACCCCGTCTTCTCCTCAAATAGTCCCCTCGAACCCGAGCTCAATTCCCCGGAGGCCAATTCTGGGCACAGAAAAGAATCATTCGCGGAAAGGGCTGGGCGCGGGAGCCATAGCGGCGATCGTGCTAGCGAATTGCGTGGCTTTACTCGTGGTGACGTCCTTCCTCGTGGCGTACTATTGCGGGAGGGATCGAAGCTCGAGCTCCAAGGCAGGAAGCGTGGAAAGCGGGAAGAGAAGGAGCAGCTATGGAAGCGAGAAGAAAGTTTACACGAACGGAGGCGGTGGTGACGACAGTGACGGAACTAACGCCACTGATCGAAGCAAGCTGGTCTTTTTCGAGAGGAGGAAGTTTGAGCTGGAGGATTTGTTGCGTGCTTCTGCGGAAATGCTGGGGAAAGGTAGTCTCGGCACGGTGTACAAAGCCGTGCTCGACGATGGCAGCGCCGTCGCCGTGAAGAGACTCAAGGATGCCAACCCATGTCCCAGGAAGGAGTTCGAGCAGTACATGGACGTGATTGGAAACCTCAAGCACCCAAACGTTGTGCGGCTCAGAGCTTATTACTACGCTAAAGAAGAGAAGCTTCTTGTTTATGATTATCTCCCTAACGGAAGCTTGCATTCCCTTCTTCATGGTCTCTGGTTTTTCTTTCTGCAAATTTTAGACGACGACGTTTTATGTAAAGTGTTTGATTTTTATAGTTTAAGATTTTTCGTAAACAGGGAACAGGGGACCAGGGAGGATTCCGTTGGATTGGACAACGAGGATCAGCTTGGTGTTGGGTGCTGCTCGGGGGCTGGCAAGGGTTCATGAAGAGTACGCAGCGTCAAAAATCCCCCATGGAAACGTGAAATCTTCCAACGTCTTGCTGGACAAAAACGGCGTCGCTTTAATCTCCGATTTTGGACTCTCTCTTCTTCTGAACCCGGCTCACGCCATCGCACGATTAGGAGGGTACAGAGCTCCAGAGCAGGCGGAGGTCAAGAGACTGTCTCAAATGGCGGATGTGTACAGCTTCGGCGTCTTGCTGTTAGAAGTGCTGACAGGAAGAGCTCCATCGCAGTATCCTTCCCCAACTAGACCGCGCATGGAGGAGGGTCAGGAGCAGATGATGGATCTGCCGAAATGGGTTCGATCCGTGGTGAAGGAAGAGTGGACGGCGGAGGTTTTTGATCAAGAACTTCTGAGGTACAAGAACATTGAGGAGGAGCTGGTGGCTATGCTCCATGTGGGTCTGGCTTGCGTGGTGCCTCAGCCTGAAAAACGGCCGACCATGGCGGAGGTGGCGAAGATGATTGAAGATATCAGAGTGGAACAGTCTCCTCTCGGAGAAGATTATGATGAATCGCGCAATTCAATTTCACCTTCGGTTGCCACCACAGAAGATGGGATATAAGGTTACTAGACTTGCTTGGTTTCATGGCAGCCTGTGGTTTGTTCTTGTGTTGTTTGGTAAGCCTTATTCATGTTTATTTTCCTCGCATTGTTGCAGGCGAGAGAGATCAGATGATCTTCCCCATCAAGCAACCAGATTACTTTTATTTAGACTTGTTTGTCTGTCATGTATTTGTTTTTTTCTCTTTTATGCCATTAAGCAAATCTTCAGTTAATAAACAATCTTCCACTCAATATATCTTTAAGACCCAGATATACGCCTCCATGTAATAAGCCTATCCAGACACTACGACTCTTACATCACTAGTCCATACAGAACGATAATATTATTAAATAATTAGGACAGCCCAGACTATACAAGGAGCCCATTTGAGGAGTTAACCCTTTTGCCCGTTTCGTTTGCAAAGCTTTATAATCATGTTATTTATTCGACTTCTTGTTCATTTGTCTAATTAACTCAAATTGAATTATCAAAACGTAAAATTTAATGCTTGTAGACTTTGAATTATCACGAATAAAAATTACAACTACAAGATATAATTGGTATATACTTGCAAATAATTATGTATGTACCAATTTATCACAGAGAATATACTTCCTAAACACTATACTAGGTCCACTCCCTCAACCAAAAAAAAAAAAAAAAAACAAGAATAAATTATCACAAACCTGACATTCAAAAGTGTTAAAAGTTATTTTTGAATATGAATTCCAACATAAATCATCATATCCACCACTCTGTTATGGCCTTCCATCTCAAAACCTGCCCCCCAGAATTTCAGTATAACATTACCACCACGCTAAATTCTTCCAATCCCTCTGCAGATTGCAGAACCAAGCCTCAAATAACTAATGCTTCTGATTAATCAATATAATTTACAAATAATAACAACACATGGGACCATTATGTGAAGGAAAATGTCAATCATACACTAATTCTGTTAATCAGCAGTACAAGTTAGAACCTCTTGTCCACCCGTCTCATGTAGGGTCACAAATAGCAAATCCTGAGCTTTGAAAACTCATACTATGCTTGGAAAAGAGAGCAGCAGCCTGGATTCGGCTCCCCACTAATCTTCACTTTCTGTCCAATAGCAGGAATTTATCATATAGCATCGGGAGTTCAAAAGCCTGGTTATGTACCAGATGGACTTCACAAACTAGCTAATCCTTCCAGTTTGATCAATCAGTGTACCAACTTGCTCTCCACACAAAGCTTTTGAAATGTTTCCCGTTTCGAGGAGATTAAACACAACAACTATACACACAAAAAAAATAATGATATTGTGAAAAGATTGAATAAGCATGTAATAATCTTTTAATGTACTCACCACCACTATACAAAAAATTACAATAATATTGGAATGAGATTGAATTGGCGACTACTAATCTACTAATACACTCAATGGTTTGTGAAATTCATATTCTGTTATTTACACCTAGCCACCTTTTTTACCATCCTGATATAACCACTTCTAAAGTTTAATTGGTTCATCATTATACTCGTAATGAACAGAAAGTCATACCACTATAGCATTTGCTATGACAAGGCGCAACTATTTGCAAAATAGCTTCTTCACAAAATAGTACTAAAACCTCTTATGTAAACCCTTGGAACACACTTGGAAGATTGGGCAAGCAATCTTGCTCATCCCCTATACCTTGACATGATGCATACATGTGCAAAAAAATTTCACCAGAAGGATGCTAACCTGGAATTCTGTTCTCTTCACAAAAGTTTAAAGCCATTGCATCCATAGATGTGACACCCCTGGAGACCAACTCCCTGAAAGAGATATGCTCAAATGTTGCATTGCTGTCCTGGGAGTGGCAGTCATATACACCATCTACGTTAGTACCCTTGAGGACTGCCTCTGCGTGAACTGAGAGCAAAATTGTGTCACATTAACTACAATTTGCATAATGTCTGACTTGTATGGGCAAGAGTAGGGGAGTCAGTTATGCAAAATGCATGACCATGTAATTCAAAAAGTTTTGTAACATGGTGAAGTAGAAACATCCAGCATTAATTGTAAATATCAAGATTATTAGAAATGTCCAGCACATACTCTCTGAGGCTCGAAGAGATGCAGCTGTATCAGTTGAAAATAGAGGATTTCCAGTGGCAGCCCCAATGCCTCCAAATATTACCACTCTGCCTTTTTCTAGATGCCGGATGGCCCTCTGCCGATTGTATGGTTCTGCAACCTCCCAAACAGAAAATGAAGTTTGTAGACGTGTCTGGACACCCATCTTCTCTAATGACGATTGAAGCAATATAGAATTCATCACGGATGCCATCATACTGAGAGAAATTTAAAGTCAGTGTTAGATCCTTTTATCAAAACTACCTAATCTGAAATTATTGGAACACATAAAACATAGGACCACAATAAGCTCACTCCCCAGCCCAGACCCAACAAAAACATTTTCTATTCTGAATCACTAAAAATCTGCTAGAGTTCATTTGGGGGAAAAATACATTAAACAGTTCTTCTCAAACACAACAAAATTAACTGAGTCCTAAGCTTACCAAAATTATTCCCCATCCATTTCATCAAGTAATATTCCCAATATATAGTTCTTAAGCAACAAAACTGGAGTATAAAAATCTAAAGAGAAGGAATAAGAAACACTTCGATTGATATTAGTTATAGCAGAGTTGAGACTCAAAGCTCAAAAGGTAGAAAAGAAAATTGGTGATCATCATTCCTGTAGGTACTTAAGGCTACAGGTGCTGCACTGACTACAAATAATTTTGCCATGTGAATAACTTCATAGTAACATGTGCAACTTACTACATAAAAAGAAAAAGAAAATGTAGGCAGCTTAACAGATCTCTTGTAGTGCTTGGAACAGACTATAAAACAATAACTAACAGCATTAATCGAGAAACAGAAAATTTGAAAAATTAATGAAGCAGCCAAAGTTCAATGAGATCAAATTAGTGTCAAGTTTCACTAAAGAAACAGAAAATCATCAACAATCTTATAAGTTAAAAAGAAAGTATGTAGATCCAAGACCTAATTTGGTAAGCAGTGCTTCTGTCCAAACCAGTTGCAGTGACCCATGCATCTCCACAAAAGAAATTACGACTTCCAACAACTATGGCTACCTGAAAAATTAAACAAACTACACATGTCAAATTGAAAAGAATAAGAGCTAATAAAACACACTGATGAAAAATAAAATAATACCTCTACTCCAAGACGACAAGCAATTGAAACTTCATTGGCAATCAACATTGCCACCTGACAATCACGAAGATGATTTCAAGTTTCCATACAAGTGATTTTTCACTTGCTAACAAGGGAAACAATCATAAGAAAGCCAACAAGGTTGCACACAATGTTGACAAAACGAACCTTTGGGTCAATGTTGTTAGGACCAGTGCAAGCAAGAGCAGCACCACTAATTTTGAAAAGAACTCTACGCCATCTAGGGGTTGGTGTTGATTTGGCTTTGATGTTAGTTACCTGGAATCCTGGATTCACTGTTGTCATAGCATATCTGGAATGAGAAACATGAATGAATATTTGAGCATATCTTAAACCAGTTCGAATTAACTCCAAATCAATCTAAACAAGATGAATAATAAAAGCTAGAGAACTAGCATTTAGACTGAAAGAACATAAGAACTTTGAAAGTCAAAATATTGAATTCAAGATAAACTTATCAAAGTTTCATTTCTTTCATGTTATCAACTCCCAGATAACCAACAAAAAGGTCATAACCAGAGGCAACCAACGAAGGTAGCTCACCTGATATGTCTATCCTGTCCAGCATTGTGTTAAATTACTGACATAACAGCTATTTATAAATGTATATTTAGTTCTATCTACCAACAAAATGAATGAACTAACTACTGAAGCAGGATGGAGATGAAGTTTGAGCATAATGGACTAACAGACATGCAAAACAAGCAAGCATTGATTTGGTGTTGAAGTTTAAGCATCTGCCCAACTCCCAAAAGTACATATACTTCCAGATTTTGGTAAGAATACTTCAAGCACTCATTTCAAAGTTCCTCATAATTGCTATACCCACTACTTCTGTCAACTACTGAACTAGCAAAACCGGCAAACTCTCCTGGATGATAAAACCAGCTCAGCCATATTATATTTCACTTAATTCCTAATTCTTTATCATTGGACATACGAAAGTTAGTTATTATTTACATATTTGATGCATAATTGAATTAACTTAACCCAAATCTTTAGTTCCACTTATTAAGAAATAAATCACAAAATCATCTAACTTGAATTGAATATATAATTAACTTAGAATTTGGATGCCATCTCCTTTTAAATTTATTTAAAAACTTTGAATGCTATTTTCTTTTGAATTTCTCTCCCAGTTCTATTGTATTCTCGTTACTATTCTATAAAAATAAAATTTAAAAGAAAGTTAACCTGAAAGCATCTTAGATATCAAAAAGAGTGGATTTTCCCACTGCTACCATGACCAGACCCCCAATTGCAAAGTCTAAGAAAAATAACAAAGGCACACCATAACGAGACAATAAGTTCACGAGTGTAACAACACTACCAATTCTCAAAAAGAAAAAAAAAGCCAGGACATTATCATCAAACCGAAAAAAGGAGTAGAAATTCTCCATCTTCTCTAAATTGAAACCCTAAAGGTAATCAGCAGGAAAATGCAAGTCCAATTGTAACAAGTAACTGACAGTAACTACCTCTTAGATTGCCTAGCTGGAGTCCCGGATGAACCAGCGCTCTTCTCTTCATCTGTAGCAGCCTTCATGGGTAACGAGTTGCCGACGATCTCCTCCATCTTCTTAAACCAAGGCCAGTGACTGGCGGAGATGCCGCCATTGCTCATTCTGTGCCTCTCCAACTTGTACCGCTTCTTAAGGTTATCAACCTTGTTCTTGCACTGCTCCACGCTCTTGGTCTGCTTCTCGCACCTCTCGCTCACCGAAGCCGCCACCTCCTCCCAGTCCCTCCCCCGCAAGTTCCCCCTGTTCAGCTGTGTGAACTTCTCCGTGTACGCATCCAAGAGGCACGCGATTGCCGCATCGCTCCACTCTTCCTGTCTTCCTGTACTCGTTAACGGATGAAGGTTTCGGTTTCTTAAAACCGTATGGACCAGCTCCAGCTTCTGTTCCTGTTCCTCCATCACTGAGCTCTTCCTGATTTTGCCTCTTTCCCGTCCGTGTATCAACAATCATGGATCTGTTTGGATCTGCGCCGTTGTTTTCAAACGGATCGGAGGTCGCATCGGCAGAAAAAGGATTGACTCCGTGAAAAGCGGAGGCAGTGTCAACGACGACGTCGTCTTCGCCGCCTTCGTCGTCATCCTCTTCTTGTTGATCGCTGAGATCCTTGGAGGTGAGTGGCGGTGGCGGCGCATGGATCGCGGTGGGCTTCGAATTGAAGCGGTGAGTCGCGTAGGTTTGGTGGAGAACGTGGTGGTGGTGATGGTGGTGGTTAGGGTTTGTTTGGTCCTCACCGAGGAGAGAGAAATCGTCGTCACAGGACGCCATTTAGGGGTTGAGAGACGTTAGGGTTAGGGTTCGAGCTTGAACGGCGACGTTAGCGGGAGCGGATGGAACGTTTGAAGGAAGTGAGGAGGCGTGTCGTGACGGAAGGAGAATGCCGTGAGTTTGGAAAGGATGGGCCGTAACGAATTGTGACGGTTCCGTTAAGTAAATGGCGAATTGAACCGGCACGTGGGTGTGACCCGGACGGGTAAGAGTCGCAATCGGACATCGTTTATTGTAGTACGGTATTTGTGCGTGCTTTGCGGTTAGGTTTGGCGGAGTTAGATGACAGCGACAGAGTTATATGAACTTGGCAAGTTTCGGACTCGTCGGCTCGCAACTCGCGAATACGACGTTAGTTTAATTTGTTTGTTTGTAGTGTTGTGACGTAAGAATATTAAAATAAATTTTATTTAGTTCAAAACTATATTTTCAAATAATAAAAAATAATAGATTGTATTTATATAAATCAGCATATTTTTTAAAATTAAATTAAAAAATATATATGTTTTATAGATTGTACTATATATGTTTTTTATGCTATGAATATAATTTTATAACAAAATTATTGTAACGGCTCCGGAATTTAAATAAAAATGTATGTATTAAAAATCTCAAATGCGGAATCGTAATAAAAATTTTGATTAACATATTTTATACAATAATAAAAAACGTACTCAAAACATAAAAGAATAACCTAATTAAAAGAGCTACTCGAAATAAAAACTATAAATAGAACTATAAAGTATTTAGACATCTAACTCGCCGTCTTCCTGCAGAACGGGCTCAGGAACCACGTCTTCCTGATCTGAAATGATTAAGTAATGAATGGGCTACACTAACCCAGTAAATACATCACACTATCTCACTGCCACATAAGTAAATGTTGGTATAAAACAAAAACGACTAATGAAGCATATTTTATAACAAACTCATTTATTAATGATAAAAATATTTACTGTCCACTTACCTCAGTGAGATTCGTGAAAATATCATATGGAAACAATAATATTATAACCATCATAAAATCATATAAACTTTGTAACATAACACATGTTATACTTTTGCACATCAATAATCAGACAATAAATTTCATTTTTTACTAGCATATTAGTATTCATTGGGATCCATAGGGGGTCTCCGCTACACGTGAACCATTAACATTAATAACCTGATTCCAGGGCCGTCCCCATATTCCGTTTGGTATGGGCGCCAAAACCATAAACTTCAATACCCCATCCGGTATGAGGGTGAAACGGGTCGTTCCCATACCCCGTCTGGTATGAGAGACCACGTTCCCGGTAGGGTTCCCTACGGATCCGGTCCGTCTACCATGTCCCAGGATATCTAGTCAGGCTGTCTACATTATCTATTTATCAATTCACGTAACCTTTTTGTCATTTTTCCTAGTCTCAATCATTCAATCATACATAACATGTAAACCAGTAATTGACACCAAACAAGACAACACAGTATCAGGTTCACCATAATACAAACTATAATAAAAGAAATAATGATTCATGCATACGAGACTATAAAATAAATACATCAAATATCATACTGCATTTAATACTGAAAAATTGATCAAACAACAATTGACCAACAATGTATCAGATTCGGGCTCCATTGGCAACCTCAATCAATTATACATATCTATAAAGTCACAAAATATCGTTTAATTATTTATTAAGTTTTAATACCGTAATAGGAGGTAAGGTGAGAGATCCTTACTTATTTTGTGGTCTGAAACCGGCTCTACGGTGTGCCTACGGGCTGTCCCTAAATTTCCTGAATTTTTTTCTGGGAAATTAAAACGCACTACCGATACCTGCATGTGTCATAAAAAATCTCAAATCAGACCTAGGGCCCCTTTCGGCCAATATTGGAATTCTGACACGGCAGCTCCGCCGTGCTCCGA